GTACAGTAAAGGCTCAGACAGTTGGGCTGACTCCCGGACCCCCCACCCCCCCCCCAACTAGGCCAGCGAAAGCCGGCTACGTCCTATGTACGGACCACCATCAACAAGAATGCCCGGGCCACCCTCAGCAGCATCAGGCACATGATCCGCAAGAACAAGTACCGCCCTGATCTGCGCATGGTGAGTGATCATGGCAGGGTCCCTGGGCAAGAGGATGCTGGGGCTGGGCTCCTGATCAGGAGCAGTTGAGCCTGTGGGGGGTGGAGGGAGTGGTGGACTACACCTGAGGGACTGGATGGGGGAACCTGGCCAGTACCATGGGGAAGGGCCCTCTGCTTACTGCCTGGATCTGGGCTGGGGAAGGAGAGGGACCTGTCCTCTCAACTACTCCAAGGTCTGGGAGGCAGGCAGGATGGGTAAGGTCTGGTGGAGAGGGTGAATTAAGCCCCCTTTACCTTCCTTCAGGCCGCCATCCGCAGAGCCAGCGCCATCCTGCGCAGCCAGAAGCCTGTGATGGTGAAGAGGAAGCGGACCCGCCCCACCAAGAGCTCCTGAGCCTGCACCCGAAAATCAATAAAGAGTCAGCCAGCTTTTTTCTCCACTGGGCCTTCCTTTTGTGCAGCTTTGGGGAGCTCCAGCCCTGTGTGTTGTCATTCAGGCCATATCACCAAAACTCTTGTGTGTCAGCTGTCCATCCGAAGAAGGCGTCAAGGCTGGATGTGCAGGGAGAGGTGGGGCAGCTACTCTGGGCCTGGTGGGGGGTCACTATCTTCACAGAAAAGACTTGCTGACCTCTGATATACATCTTTTGCCCCTTTGTGAGGTGCCTAAAGAATCCCGACTTGAACCTCCTTGGAGTGGGGGTGTCCATTCAGAAGAGGAGAGGCCTTTTCCCACCCAGAAGGGCATAGGCTAAGGAGCTGTGGGCCCTGGAGCTGCTTATGCCCCGCTCTGGGCCCCTGGTGCAGTAAGGTTTGAGGATTTTGGGGGAGAGGGGGGTCCCAGGACCTGGGGGACCACAGGAATGGGGTGAGGAAGACCACCTTCATACCCTAGATTGGGTCAGGGGGTGATAGCCACAGTTGTATGTGGGGCTTTACCTGTTGCAGCCCAATCTTTTAGATGGGCAGTTGAGGCCAGGAGGATGTGACTCCTACTTGCAGTGGCCACCCAGGAGAGAGGTGGCAGTCCCAGGTGCCCAGCTAGAAACCAGCATCAGGAAACAGCCTGAGCTATTCCCTTTGCCCCTGTGTCGTCGAGGTTGGCTCTTACTGATCAGGTCTTAGCTCAGTGACTCCTCGAAGATCTTCCCTGACCACTCTGTCTAAAGGAGGTTCTGCCTGGTGCTCTGCACTCTCTTGCCTTTTGCCTGTTAGCTTCCTAGTGTTAATTACAACTTGTGATGACACAGCCATGGACACTGTACATGGTCTGCCCAGGTTCTACCACCAGCTCATCCCGCTGTGTGGTCTTGGGCAAGTTGCAAGACCTTCCTCCATTGTTAAAATGAGGTGAGTTAATGAATGCAAAGGGCTGAGAACAGGTCCTGCATGTAGTAAGTGCTCAGTACATAACTATTAATGTTTTATTTGTTCTATACTAGAATGTAAATACTGTGAGGAGCGGGGCATTCATAACATATTCAGATGAGTGTGCGGCACGTGTACACATGTACATTTGCATATATACACATAAAACAGTATTTGTGGAGTGACCATTTCTCATCCAAATACCCACTCAGTCACCCTGTGAAGCAGGTGTCAGCCTCATTTTACAGGTGTAGAAACTGAGGCTTAACTAGGGAAAGGGTCACCCATGCCATTGCTCCTGACATGTTCCCTGCATACCTACTGTGTACCAGCCACTGCCAGGGGCAAGGATCCAGTATTGAGGGCACCCCTGATTCCTGCCATCCTGGGGACCCTGTCCCCACTTCACAGCTCTGTGGTCAAGGACCAAGGGACTCCCTGGGATTCAACTTGTTTTTGGGGTCAGAGGGCCAGGAGCCCTGCCTATTGGGGCAGACTCACCCCCCCTCAAATGC